CATTATTAAACTTAAATTAAATTATGATAAAAAAATAAATTAAAGAAATCGCATAAAAATGAGAATATTTAAATAGTTGATTTGATATTAAGATTGATATATTTTTTTCAAATTTTTATGATATCTTCAAATTTATATTTTATTCAAAAATAAAATCATTATTTCTTTCTTAAAAAGACATAAAATCATAATATAACATCGACAGAGACAAATATTAAAATCGAGATGTGTCTCGCTGCATTGCGCGAGTACTCTTCTAGTAAATAAAATATGTGGTTTTTTACAAGAACATTGGTTTTTACCTTAAAGTTGATGTAAAATGACCATTTATAAGTTAAATGTGTGTGTGTGTGTGTGTGTGTGTGTGTGTGTGTGTGTGTATATACACTACATTTATAAGCATTTAGATCAAAACTCTTAATTACAAATCTTAAAGCATAAAGTACTATCAATTTATGTAAGAGATTTAAAAATCTCTTAAGTACAAACTATTATGCATAATATACAAATGCTTAAAACATATCATTTGTTTGGTCAAAGTTTCAGATTTAAGTAAACCATATTCACATGAAAAAAATATGTTTGGTCTTTCCAAGGTTGTTTGACATTTTGTTTGTTTCCTATTTTAAACCCAAATTCAAATTTAAAGTTCTTTTTTTTCTTGAAGTAAACTGAAATTTGAAGCAACAATATCAGAAAAGGTTTCAGATCCTGCATGTACCCACCCCAACCCTTCAACTTTATATGGGTTTAGAAACTCAACATGTGCAATTATTTTTCCAATCGATCTTGCTAATACACCATATTAACCTTCAACTTTATATATTAGTTGACTTATAAAATAAACACACAAACTCATGATTCAAGGCTAAACTAATGTTTCAAAATTGTGATTCACCCACACTGCATCGCGTGGGACACCACTAGTGTGTGTGTGAAACGATCAAATGTAAATAACTCTTATTTGTACAACTCTTACAAACGATCCTCATTTGTCGATTTCATTATTTAATTTAAGGGAATTGCTTTATTTCATATAATTTTTTTAATGAGGAAATTGTTTCATATATTGTTGTTTACATGTTTTAATAAAACTGTTTCATGCATTTCTCTAAAGTTATATAATGAAGTGATAATGTATATAATTAACGCTCTTCACAATAAAGATGATTCAGTAACCATGATTGGGGCTATAGTACTGACTATGCATAGGATTGCAATTACAAAAAAGAGAATGAAAAAAAAATTATGATTGATTGAATAAGTTTTGCACAGTTTGTACAAATGACTTGTTTTGCAAAGTAAACTACTTCTCTCTCTCTCTTTATATATATATATATATATATATATATATATATATAGGGGCTTAATCAAATGAGAACTGAATTGTTTGTGGTAACTGTGAGAACCAATCTCAACCACATATTATAATAATCAATGGGTAAGATTAAAAAGAATCTTAATTAATGTATTTNTTGTGGTAACTGTGAGAACCAATCTCAACCACATATTATAATAATCAATGGGTAAGATTAAAAAGAATCTTAATTAATGTATTTCTATAAATAAATTAATGTCATTTAATGACATTATATGAACAAGGGCAAGATGGTCATTTTGTAYGTTAATATTCTTGTTCAATTGGAATCTAAATATGGTGAAGATATTTTCCTGTATTTGAGACGGAGACGATTGCCTTAAGCCCTAGAGTAATCTCAATTTGTGCTACATTGTGGTACATTTAGTGTAGATCATAATCTGTTGGAAAATGGTGTGTTACATTGTGATAACATTTAGCCTTTGTAATAATATTTGACTGGACATTGTGATAATCAATTTGTGATAATCAATTTGTGCTACATTGTGGTAACAGCACCTCTGCTACATAAAATCTGCAGATGTATTAACAACATTAGTACAAATTGGTGTGATACATTATGATAACATTCTTAAATATTATGGATACAATCTTCAACAAATATGTGTGATTTCATGTGATTCATCAGAATAATGAACATGTGTACACAAATGGATTTATTTTTTTTGAAATTATTTCACTAAATGATATTAATATTTTATTTTAGGAATGTAAATCAATATTAATTTATTTTATTTGAAACGGTTGCATTTAAAAAATTAAAATTTAATTTTAAATTAGGAATTGACTAACATACCCTTTTAATTTGATTTTAATTGTATAATTAATATGTTAAAATGATTGGTTGAGATTGGTTCTCACAGTTACCATAAACAATTCAGTTCTCCCTTGAATAGGCCCCTATATATATATATATATATATATATATATATATATATTGTAGGGGCATAATCAAATGAGAACTGTTTTGTTTATTATAACCGTGAGATCTAATTTCAACCACAAATCAAAGGTTAAATTAAGAAATTAATAATTTTGGTAATTTTAACTTAAAATATTAATTAAAGGCATTTTAGGGATTTTATAAATATCATCTCTCATCTCTCCTCTTTTTGGCGAATCTTATTCGCCGAACCTTATTCTGATTAACCTTATGTGAACACAAGATACACATTGTGATACCTACAAACGATTTTCAATGTGATACCCAAACATACATACAAAATGCACAATGTGATACCCTTAGTAAAACAATGAAAATAACAAAATTGCACACTATGGTACATTTCATAAAACAAAAACAATAAATACATTGCGATACACGTGAAACATTGTGAACGTTATCACTATGATACGCTTTGATTCACAAACATTTTTAAAATACGATGTATATTAGGTAATTGATATACTAGGTAACAAATTTTAATTAAATATTTCCTTCTAAAAATTTAATCAAATATTTTGATTAGTCGTCAAATATAGAATTAGTATATTATCTATTTTATCTTATTTAAAAAATATCCTTAAATATCTCAAACGAATGGTTTATATTGAATCTCACGGTTACCACAAATTAATCAGTTCTCCGTAGTGTCGACACACAAAAAGCAATTCAAAACCGTAGTTCATAGCACTGGAAGAAAATTGTGTTTTTCGATGTTGACTTACGATTTGTTGGCTATAAAACAATTTTCTAGAAGGTGGTTGTTTAAGATGATAACATGTATAATGCACATCCTTTTGATTATTATACAAAAATCACTTTTTATTAAAGTCACTTTTATAATAATAATAATAAAAAATTGATATAATTCTAAGATTTTAAGAGTATCTCTAATAGCTTCTCAATTATTTCGTTAAAACAGAGAAATAAAAATAAAAATTTCTAAAATAATTTACAAACAAATTCAATAGATTTTTTATTTTAAAGATTTTATCATTAATTATATTATTTTTTCTATTAGAGCAACTCTAATTTTGTGCAAAACCCTAATTTTGCCGTTCTTTTGGATCCAATCGCACGCCAAAAACACCAAAATTTTGCCGGAGGAAGGAAATGAACGGCAAATTTGCCGTGGAAGAGGTGGACGGCAAAAGGTTGGAGTTGAGTATTTTTTTGGTGTTAACGGGCCCACTTATTTGGTGTTTCTTTTAGCGTCAAGGTTGGAGTTGTCCTTATAGATGAGTTGTTGGAGATGTTCTAAGGGCATGTTTGGGATCGATTATTTGAAATAACTTATATTTTTTTACAAAAGTTTTTATCAACTTATTAAAAGTTAGAATGATTTAACTTTTCTAAAAACTTCTTATAATCGGTTTGGCACAAGTATAAGTTGTCTACCCAAACACTTAAAAGTATTTATTACCGGTGTCATACAGGAATAAGTTAATAAATTATTTTTATAAGCAATCCAAAATCCCCTAAATGCTGCCAACAAGGAGGGGCAGGATGACATTTTATAAGGAAATTGACCAAAATAATGAATGATTTCAACAAAGCTTATCTTTTAGCCACTTTTATAAGCCAGTATATTTTTTAGAGATAGTAAATTAGTTTTCACTTTTTTAAAATTTAAAAAACAAGTTTATACAAATACACAAATCATTTACATAAAGTGTAACTAAAATAGTAACGTGATTAAGAAGATTTAAGGTTGTTTGATAATTGTTCGATGGTTTGGTGCAAAATGATTAAAGGGTGTTTGGGATTACTTATTTGAAACAACTTATGTTTTTCTATAAAAGTCTTTATCAACTTATTATAAGTTAAGATGATTTAACTTCTTCAAAAACTTATTATTACCGGTTTGATACCGGTATAAACTGTTTATCCAAACACTTAAAAATGCTTATTACCGGTGTCACACCAGAATAAATTAATAAGTTGTTTTAATAAACAATTCCAAACACCCCCGAAGTGGTCAGAATGATTAATGCAAATTAAAATATAAATATTTGGTAATATTTTTCAAAGAATTTAAGGTGTTGAATGGTTAAGGAAGGGTCGGGAGACAAAATCAGAAGGTTTTTAAACCATTAAGAGATGAATTTTTTTTTTTTTGCCAAATAAAATTTATCTCTTAACGATACAAAGACTATCTATTAATGAAACTATTAAAAGGTAAAAAAACAACCATTTAGTTATTTCAAATATATGACAATTAAGTTTAAAAAAAATGTTTTTTAACTGAAAACTTATTTAAAAATCAATTCACCAAATTACCCATTTGGTAAACAACCTGACGTGTGCATTTCAAGATGGACACAAACTGTTGTTCATGTGGATTAAAGGCAAACTTGAAACTCGTGCATCGATGGCTATGTAAACCGTACTATTCCGCCGGCTGTTTCGCCGGAAATATGCAAAACAAGTAAGATGAATCGAAATGTAAAAATCGCCGATCTATAATATTTGATACCGGAAAACTTGTAGCAAGCCACGTTTAACATAAACGGCGAAGAATTCTACAAAATGCGATTACAAATTCAGGCATATGTTGCGGAACAACAGAAGGAGAAATTACACCGAAGCTTTCTCTAAATGTTGCAAAAAAAATTGAGATCTGATTTAGTATTTACAGTCAACAATGGCGAGGTTCGTAGATCGACGGAAGAGATCATACCGCTAAACTTCATCCTTGATAGCTACTCGATTGTGAGAAAAAAGTCTGTAATTTTAGGATTTACTGTTGGAATTCATGATTTGATATTTTAGATCATAATCAGGAGGATTCAGCTGGTGGCGGAAGGTTGAGATCTATTATCAAGCGTTGCGATGCCGGTGTAGGTAACGGCTTCAAGTCAACAACAGAGGATGAGTTCGAGTCATCGCTCACAGATTGCCGGAAAGGCAGGGCGGACGAATCGTAGCCACCGCTGTGGTGAACTTGCACTTTTCCGGAGAGGAAGATCCCGTCGGGAAAATAGAACATCTGATTCGACGGCGGGGTGAAAAATCCGGTAACGGCACCTGTGGAAGGAGAAAAACAGTACATATTCTTCTGGTGAAAAGGAAACTGCACAGCCGGCGGAGCAGCAACGCCGTACGAGAGATTGAGATCCAACGACGGCACGACCGATTCCGCTTCCCGACTCGGCGACTCAATGGTACTACCCTGACTCGTGCTCTGTTGACTCACATAACTCGCTTTCTTAAACAACTCATCTTTTTGCACCTTCAACAAACCATTATCGTCATGAATAGGAAAATTAGTCTTGGCCTTAGCTCCACGAAACTCACGCGCCGCCGCGTCGTACGCCTTAGCCGCCTCCTCCGCCGTATCGAAAGTCCCTAACCACACACGAGTTTTCTTGCCGGGATCACGAATCTCGGCAGCGTACCTCCCCCACGGCCTCTTCCTTACCCCTCTAAAATGCGCCTCTTTCACTTGCACACCAACACCGGCGCTGCCGCCGTTAACTTTAACGGCAGTCGGCGTTCTATCTCTAGGAGCCATAGCATAAAATATTGACGGTAGAAGGAAAGGAAAGAAAGAAAGGGTTTGACGGCAGTTTAGGGAGAAAGGAGAGAACGAGTGGTTGATTATATAGGGGAAAGGAGGGTGAGAACCGGTCAACGGAAGGAGCGGAGAGGGGGGCAGCCGCCCATAAAGGCGGGGGGGTTACGTGGCATGGCGGCATCGTTTTTTTCTGTTTTTTTTTTATATTTTTATTTATACGTATTTATTTTGCTGTCTGAAGCCGTTGAAATGAAGGGAGAATGGAACGCGTGAAGGTCCGGCACTGTTACTCACGCGCTACTGATTGTGCGGTAAGATTTGTCATTAGAATCTTTTTTTATAATTATTTTATTGATTATAAAATCTTAATTTAGTGAAATAAAAATGATACGATAAATATCGAAAAAAAATCAGAAAAACCTATCAAATTGTTTTATTTTTAAATGATTATATAAAAGACTGTCAATTTATGTATATAACTATTAAAAGCGTTATTTCATAAGATGTAATAAAAATACCGATTAACAATTAATACAAAAAATAAATTATTGAAAAAATTAAAAATAAAATTGGGTTAAAAAATTTAGAGTAAATTACAATATATTTTTAGTCCTTCTTCTTTGTTAGAAATTTTCTATTTTTGATTTTGGTCTTTATGATTTTGAAATTGCAATTTCTATCCCTATGATTTATAATTCATTTTATTTAACCACAAGGGTGGTGTCTGCTTGGTTTGAGCTTGGCTCCAAAGGTCAAAAGTATCTAGAGGTCTCAATTTCAAATCAAATGAGGAATAAAATCCCCTTGTGGTCACGGAGATTCAAATGCGGTGACTCCGGACTATCTGCAAATAAGATGGTTGCCCTGAGATTAGTCAGCTCGCATAGCGGGTTGGATATCCAGGTTAATAATAAAATCATTTTCTTTTTCGTTCTTATGGTTTAATTTTTTTTTCCGTTTCTATGGTTTAATTTTTTTTTCCGTTTCTATGGTTTATAATTCATTCCTATATTAGTCCTTCGTATTTAAACGTAATGTTTTGTCCTCAAGGACAATAATAAAAAATGAATTTCAAACTATAAGGATGAAAACCTTACCAATTATAAAAAAAAAAGGTACATTTAACACTTCCTGGAAATAACCTTTTCAACATGTGACCGATAACAAAATGGCCTTATATGAAATGGCAATACGTTTCGTAAAATAATTTCCAAAATCCAATTAATTTAAGAAATTCTATTTCCTACAAAGTATACGACTATTTTAAGATGTTTGCAAAGTTGGTGAAAACTTTGTAAAATGCAGTAGGTTTTGTTAAGGATAAATTATGGATTTGACGAAATAAAGTTGATTATGCGAAATTGATTTCCAAACATGTGCTTATTTTCAAGTTTCGAAAAAACATGGACATTTCGTTATAGGTCTCATGTCAAATCAAATTATTTTTGTATCTCTTAAAATTTACTAATTAATTAACAACTTTATTTCTAATTTTATCATTTTATGTTTTTTTTCTATAATTACTTTTTTTTTACCAACAAAGAAAGGCGAAATATCATAAAAAAAAACTAGCAAGACGCTAGCAAAAAGAGAGTACAGGCAAAAAACAAGACATGGGGAGTTACACCACTCTATCCAACTATTCACCAAAATACCTTTCGGCATTCTATTTTTAAACCAGAAAAAAGAATACGCCTGAAGCTGGCCTGCGAGAAAAGTAGCCGAATTCAGAGAGGGAGCTAGGAAAATATTACGGTTGCGTAAGTTCCAGATAATCCAGAAGAACTCGTACACCCCTCCGATAAACGCCTTTTAACACATGGAAGTCCCAACCACCTCCGAGCTACGGTCAAGAAGATTGTCGATCGAGTTCACCTGTCCTATATCCACTTTCCACCATGTGCACAGGACCTTGAGCAATTTTCGTGATATCGGGCATCCTATGAACAAGTGTTCCTCGTCTTCTTCGGTACATTCACACAGAGGGCACAAAGAAGAGAGGCAAACCACACCTCTTTTTAAGAGATTATTTTTAGTCGAAGACCTTTTGTGAAGCAGACGCCAAGCTAAAATGTTGATTTTTGCACCCACCAAGAGGTTCGGAAACTAACCTGGTCTAGCGAACGGTCATCGTAAGCGGCTCTCGTCGAGGAGACCGAGAAGGTACCGTGAGGATCCAGAGCCCATCGCCATGAAAAGTCACCATCTTGCGAGAAGCGCCACCACCATCTTGCGAGAAGCGCTAGATTGAGAGTTCTTAGACTACCGATCCCCGGACCGCCAGCATCTTTATCCGTCATCGTGGTACTCCAACGGGTCCATGAAATCTTTCTCACTCCTCTTTTATCACCCCAGAAGAACCTCGAGCGAATTGATTCAAGTTTATTGATGATCGAAATAGGGGCCTTGAGAAGCGAGAGGAAATGCAGTCCCAGCCTTCCTAAAACAGATTTGACCATGACAAGACGACCACCATGAGAAAGGATTTTGGATTTCCAGGCTGATAATTTTTTGTTAAAATTTTCAACCAGAGGCGCCCAAGATTCAGCTTTATTAGAGCGACCACCGATCGGCAAACCGAGGTATGTAAAAGGCAAAATCCCAGGTCTGCAATGTAATCTACTAGCGACAGAAACTACTTCATCATAGTCAACCCCCATGCCCATTATATTACTCTTCTGCATATTCACCTTCAACCCCGAAGACAATTGGAAGCATCACAACAACCGAACCAAATTAGTAGCATTCGATCTCTACCATTCACCCATGATCAAGACATCATCAGCAAATTGCAAAATCGATAATTCAGGCCCGGAGTTAGGAAGTTTGATACCATTGAAAATACCTTTCCGCGAGGCTTCCGACATAATGATATTGAGAGTTTCGGCAGGGAGTATGAAAAAGAGTGGGGCCAGGGGATCTCCTTGCCTTACACCCCTTCTTAGAGGGAATTCGCGAGTCGGGGATCCATTGATGAGGACCGCTACCGATGCCGAACTGAGGCACCCTTTGATCCACGCTCTCCATTTCGCGCCAAACCGCATTCCCCTTAAAACATCCTCCAGAAAATCCCAAGACAATGTATCAAAGGCTTTTTCGAAGTCAATTTTAAAAATCAAGGATTTGCGATTAGTTTTTTTTGCCCAAGATATTATCTCGCTGACGATAATGGGTCCATCTAAAATACTCCTTCCCTTGATGAAGGCAGATTGTTCGTGCMCGACAACCGAATCAATGACCATGCTCAATCGAGACGCCAAGATCTTAGCAATAATCTTATAAAAACAATTTATCAAGCTAATGGGCCGGTACTCCGAAAAAGAGCACGGAGATTCGGATTTGGGTATAAGCATGATGAAGGAGGCGTTACATCCGTCGTCAATGGAGGCAGTGGACTCAAAATATTTGACGGCCCGGTACAAGTCATCCTTGATGACATCCCACTGTGATCGAAGGAACGCAAAAGAGAATCCATCAGGCCCGGGAGCCTTATCTGATCCACAGTCCCAAATGGCTTTCTTGACTTCCTCCAAGGAAATGTTTGATTCAAGAGAGCTCACCTGTTCCGGAGATAGATGTTTAAAATTATTTCACAAGAAAGGGGGTCGGATGACAGACCTGGATCGAAATCTCTCTGAGAAGAAATTGAAGGACACTTGTTTGACTTCAGAAGGATCCGTGACCCAGACCCCATTAGAGGATATGCCATGGATGAAATTACTCCTTCTGTTAAAATTGATGATCCCGTGAAAGAAACTCGAGTTTTCCTCCCCGTCCACTACCCATCTAAGATGCGCTTTCTGCTTGAGGTCTTTCACATTCTTCTCATCCAAAGCTTTGATTTTCATCAAAATGTCGTTTCTCGAAGCGATCTCTTCCAGCGAGAGAGAGGTATTTTCCGCCTTGATATCTAAGGAATCCAACGACATTCTCAAGGAGTTCACCTGTTCCATCTTAGATTTGTTCACTCCTATCTTCCATGTGTTAATGTGTAGCTTGAGGTTCTTAAGCTTACTCATAAAGAATTTGATAGGCGGGCAGTAAATGGGTGAAGGGGAGGAGTTCCACGAATCACGGACCAAGATGTTGAAATCAGGCTGGCCAAGCCACGAATTGAAAAACTTAAAATAAGTAGGACCGAAATCCATCGGAGCGGATGTGAAGAGAATAAGGCAATGGTCCGAGAGAAAGCGAGGTAGAATCACTGCGCTCGGCATGGGCCACTGAGATAGGAAATTGGATGAGATAGGAAATTGGATGAGACAAGATACCTGTCTAGTTTACTGTGCTTCGCCCTGTCAGCGCTCATCCTAGTAAATTTCCTTCCACCGCTCCTAACTTCAATAAGCCCCGAGTCCCAGATAAAATCGTTGAATCTGCTAGCACCCAGAAACGAGAACGAGGATCCTTTTCTTTCATTGGCGGAGCGAACTTCGTTAAAATCGCCCATGATAACCCACATCGTATCCGAGTTATCGATCAAAAATTGCTCGATGGCAGACCAAAACCTGAGTTTGGAGAACGAAGATTGCGGCACGTAAACATTGATGAATCCGCATGGGATACTATTCGACACCCATCTTTCCCAGACAGCAACAAAACCATCAAGGATAGTGAATTCATCCTTAATGAAAAAAGACGTATCCCAGATGGATAAAATACCCCCAGACATCGCCCTAGATTTCGACGAAATAAAATCAAAAGAACCTTTACCCCAAATAGATTGGATGAAACGAAGATCCACCTCGTCCTTGAGATGCGATTCCTGAATGGCCAGGAAATTAGCTTTATTACCGATCCTCAAATTTCTAATCCAATTCCTCTTAGCCTCCGATGCTACCCCCTTAGAATTCAAAGAAAGAATAATCATTGATTAGCATGAACATCCCCTGCAGAAGAAATTACCTTTCTAATTTCTGCTTCACAACCGTTCATACAGAATCCGATCATATTACCGATTTCCATAGTATCCCTAACCTCCGACGCTAAGCCATCCAACGAAACTCTAGAAGGTTTCTCGTTGATTGTGA